ACACACACACACACACACACAAACAAACACACACACTCACAGAAACAAACAAACAAACACACACACAAACACACACAAACAAACAAACAAACAAACACACACAGACATACAAACAAACAAACACGCACATAAGCACACACACACAAACACGTGTATACACACTCATACAGCTCTCCCATCCACAAAACACACACACACACACAAACATATGTATAAACACTCAAGAACAACACACACACACACACACACAAATACACACAAACACAAGTACACACACTCATGAAGCTTTCCCATCCACACACACACATACACACACTTAAATAGTTTTTTCATCCACACAACACACACACACACACACACACACATACACACACAAACACATGTACACACACCTATGAACTCCACCATCTGCACAACACACACACACACACACACACACACACACACACACACACACACACACACACACACACACATTTTCCCCATCCACTCAACACACACACACACACAAACAAACACACACACACAGAAACAAACAAACACACACACAAACATACACACACACAAACAAACAAACACACACACAAGCACACACACACACACACTTGTATACACACTCGTACAGCTCTCCCATCCACAAAACACACACACACAAACATATGTACACACACTCAAGAAGCTCCCTCAACTGGACAACACACACACACACAAATACAGTACACACACTCATGAAGCTTTCCCATCCACACACACACACACATGCGATCGTGCTACCCACTGCGCCACCGTGACACCCCAATGTGTCGCAAATGTTGCAGCTTTGTACAATATAGATAGTGTGAAGGCAGCTTAACAGCTTGAGTTCTGATGAATTGAAACTGCTGGCGTGGAACAAATCAATTGACGAAAGTGAAGGGGAAACGAAAACAGAGAGCATTGAATGTTTGCACTGAAGCCGCAGCATAATGAATGTGCTGCCATTGATTCAGATGTGTGTGTGTGTGTGTATGTGTGTGTGTGTGTGTGTGTGTGTGTGGATTGATTTTCCTCCTCAGATCTCGAGCAGCGCCACCCTGGAGGGTAAAGGACAGCTGAAGTTCACCGCGGGCAAGTGGAGTCCACATCACAACTGCACACAGCTGGCCACTGCCAACGACACGGCCATCCGAGGCTGGGACCTGCGCAGCATGAGGTGAGAGATCTCCAGACGGAGAGCCTCCTCTGGAAATATCACAAACTCTTACCGTACGTTCACACCGAAAGCGGCGAGAGCGTCCAAGGTCGCTCTGGCCGCCCTGGCGACAACTCTCTCTGCCTTCAGCTCCGGCGGCGAGAGCGGCAAAACTCGCTACATTGATCTCGTACTTAAAGGAGCCGTTGCAGCATATCAGTTACATTCCTGCATAAGACATGTTTTTAGCGTGAAAATGTTGCGCACTTCTTATCAAATTCATATAACAATGGAAGATCAAGTTGCGTGTGGTGTGGCTTTGCTCTATTTATCCAATATGTGTCCATATGTCTGAAATATCCTGAAGCAGCAGTACTGTTTTGTACTGTCAAATCGCGGAAGATTCCCGCTTTTTAAAGATAAATTTACATAACATTGATGAACATCAGTAACTCGCCAGTAACTTATTTAATGTATGTTCCTGTAAGAAAACATTGTAAATAATTGGAAATGCGGCGACCGCAATAATCAAACCCTTGGGAACAACTGTGGTCGGAACCAAAGTTCACAGGTCTGTGTTCCCTGAACTGCTATCAAGCGGTGGACGTCTTTATTCTGATTGCTTGCCGCCGAACCGCGTCATAGCTCATTACCATAAAGTTGACTTCATTTCAACTCTCCTCGACGCTCACGCCGGCGAAGACGCGCCGCGCTGCTCCTCGCCGCTTATCGTCGCCTATCGCCGCCGGCTCTCATTGAAAATGAATGACTTCCGGCTACTTTGACGCTGTCGCCGCTTTCGGTGTGAACGTACTGTTATTCTGCAGTGGTTTTGTCACAGATGCTGGTCTAAATATAATCGCCGACTACTTTTACATGGACACCACACCAGGGGCCTCATGTATCAACGCTGCGTACGCACAAAAACTTTGCGTACGCCAGGTTTCACGCTCAGAATCGCTCACGTTTGGATTTACTAACACTGAACTGAACGTGGGAATGTGCGCAGCTTCACGGCAGCTTCATGGCAGGCGTACGCACATTTTTTGAGCGTGTCTGTTTTATTTCCATTGGCGACTCCTAGAGGCAGTTGTCTTAAATTCCTCTCTACAAAGTGTCTGAGCCTTGCAATGGCAGCTGTATGAGACGGGTTCATCTAGCAGGTATATAAGGTTTCCATACCATACAGTTGACCAGCTAAACATTAAAGCACAATTTGCAGTGGTCGCCCGTTTTTTTCCCAATGTAATCTGAGCGATCTACTGCACGCACATCGCTATAAAGACACTATCTGAAGATGAATTTGCATGTGTGAATCAGAAACATTTCCATTCAATAAATGTGCATATAAAATATGATGCTTATTGATATGAACTTATTAATGATTCCTACTTGTCTTTCTCGTGATAAATAGTTGGCAAAATCTGATATGTAGCGGGGGAAAAAAGAAGAATGAGTTCATCAGACGCTGGATTCGAGCCGAGTTCATGCTCGAACGTATTAATTCATGATCACATGCGTCTAACGAGTAGCGCCACTGAAACTGTTAAGCTTCCTGCAACATTTTACAGATATAAATCACACTATTTCTTTTTTAATTCACTCAGTGCGATGTTCAGACCCAACTGTGTTAACCGCATCAGCTAAACTCTCCCACTCTATTTTTTTCTTTTGTTTTTAATTCCGGAGGACAAACTTGCAAATAACACCGTTTTTCTCCGCTCTACCTCCGAAAGGAGCACCTCCAATTCACATTCTGTTCAAAGTTTCTCTTTTTGCTTGCTTTTGCCATTGCTTTTTCGTTGGGTTTTTCCATTAGCATAGTCATTAGCATATTCATACGGGGGAGAGGCAGGGAGGGGTTATGTGCTCGTGCATGTTGCGCTCAGTTTCACGTTCATTCAGATGTACAAAAGAATATGCGTGGGATTCGGCGTACGCAGTGTTTCAAACATCTGAATTTTTTTCTGCGTACGCACATTTACAGCTTTGTGCGTACGCAATGTTTTAGTAAGATTTCCACGCAAGTCTTCGTACATGAGGCCCCAGGACTCCAATGATTCGTCTTAATCTAAATAAGACAGTAATAGGATGAAGGTGTTTACATGAGCTGCTGTATGAATGTTCCTTTCATGTTATAGCACAGAGATCGATTAACATCATTACATTAGCATTCAATGCTAGTTTCCTAGCATGTGTGTGAGAGAAATAGAGCAAGCAAAGAAGTTTCTGGAAGGCGTGTATGTGTGGTTGTGTGTGCACGTACAAGTACGTGTGAGAGAAATAAAGCAAGCAGAGAAGCTTCTGCAAAAGTGTGTGTTTCTAGTTTAGACATGTGTGCATGTGTGTGTTTGCACGTGTGTTTGTGTGTGTGTGTGTGTGTGTGTGTGTGTGTGTGTGAGCAGAGAAGCTTCTGGAAGGTGCGTATGTGTGCATGCAGACATCCCAAGTCTCCCGAAAGTTCCGGGGGTTTCCTGCAAATGCACAGAGAGTCCCGGATGCCCGCAAGCGGATAATAATCTCCCGGAAATAAAGTCTCCTGCGCGGTCCTCAAATAATTCGCACACCCCTCTCCACTGCTTCACCCCCTTTTTTTTTTTACATACCCGCTAGTTGTCCGAGCCGTTTGCTTGCTGAAATCATTTTATTTGCATTTTACAAATTAGCTTAATTGACAGTGATTTAGTACTTAAATATATACACTCACCGGCCACTTTATTATGCTGCTTGTTAATGCAAATTTCTAATCAGCCAATCACATGGCAGCAACTCAATGCATTTAGGCATGTAGACATGGTGAAGACGATCTGCTGGATTTCGAATGGGGCGAGCATCAGAATGGGGAAGAAAGAGGATTTAGGTGACTTTGATTGTGGCATGGTTGTTGGTGCCAGACGGGCTGGGCTGAGTATTTCAGAAACTGCTGATCTACTGGGATTTTCAAGCACAACCATTACTAGGGTTTACAGAGCATGGTCTGAAAAAGAGGAAATATCCAGTGAGCGGCAGTTCTGTGGGCGCAAATGCCTTGTTGATTGCCTGAGGTCAGAGGAGAATGGCCAGACTGGCTCCAGCTGATAGAAAGGCAACAGTAACTCAAATAAGCACTCGTTACAACCGAGCTCTGCAGAAGAGCATCTCTGAACACACAACACGTCCAACCTTGAGGCGGATGGGCTACAGCAGCAGAAGAGCACACCGGGTGCCGCTCCTGTCAGCTAAGAACAGGAAACTGAGGCTACAATTCACACAGACTCACCAAAACTGGACAATAGAAGATTGGAGAAACGTTGCCTGCTCTGATGAGTCTCCATTTCTGCTGACACATTCGGATGGTCGGCTCAGGATTTGTTGTCAACAATTAAGCATCATGTCAATGCCACAGCCTACCGGAGTAGTGTTACTGACCATGTCCATCCCTTCATAAGCACAGTGTCTCCATCTTCTGATGGCCACTTCCAGCAGGATAAAACACCACAATCATCTCAGACTGGTTTCTTGAACATGACAATGAGTTCACTATACTCAAATGGCCTCCACAGTCCCCAGATCTCAATCCAATAGAGCAGCTTTGGGATGTGCTGGAACGGGAGATTGGCATCATGGATGTGCAGCCGACAAATCTGCAGCAACTGTGTGATGCTATCATGACAATATGGAGCAAAATCTCTGAGCAATATTTCCAGTGCCTTGTTGAATCTACGCCATGGAGGATTGAGGCAGTTCTGAGGGCAAAAATGGGGTCCAACCTGGTACTGGTAAGGTGTACCTAATAAAGTGGCCGGTGAGTGTATTTATAAGCAAAAAAAATTGTGGGCATGCACACTCC